TACTACATCATATTTTATAATGAGAATGACTATGCAGCAAATTTTTATTTGTCGTTCCAGTCGGAAACTTAACCTAAATTCATAATAATTAGGTTTTTAAAACTATCATTAAATCTTAAATATAATCTCCAATCCCCCTAGCCCGCCTAAGATGATGAAGGACGGATTGTGAATTTTCAAAAAATGATATGAGTAGGCCAGCTAAGGCCACTACAATTTTTATTCATGCTTCGAAAATTTATTATTTACAAACGCAGATTAATTTGCATAATGAAATTACAAATAGAATATTGCTTAATCGATAATCCAACTATTAAATGTATCCTGGGAGAGAAATGACATGTCTTGAAAGTCAACTTTGTCCTACAACCCCTTGACATCCATGGATGAGTGTCGAAAATAAAAGTTGAACAGCCCGGACCCGATTTCTGTTGGGGCTGCGCTGTCAAAATATTAAATCAGCAGGAATTAGAATACCTACTGGTAACTTAAGGCCCTCGTCTTCTTATCGTGGGATTATTTGCTATTATTCTTAAACACCTCAAGCCATCTAGGATGGCTACAGCTCTTGTTCATAGTCTTATGAGAGTCTACACAATATAATATGAGGATATATAAGGATTTATGATATTTATATATTTATTTATTTATATAATGTATTCTTATATATATCTTAACATTATATTTTCTAGACTTTCACTAGACTATGGATATATATTAGAATATATATATATATATATAATATAAAAGAAGCTAAACAAAGTCTAAAAGTCAGGTGAGGGAGAAACTAAAATACAGGATTGCGATATTACGCTAACGTACTGATGTTAAAAATATAAAAAGTGGAAAGTGGAAAGTGATCATTCATCCCATTTCGTTTTAGGTGATGAAGGACTGGTAGCTGAATTTTCCTGCAATAATATGAGTAGAGCCTACGTTTCTATTGAATATCACATAACCTCGCTTTCCCAAAATAATTCTCATCCAGAGTGCACTGCAGTTTCGACAGCCCTAGCAGGAGTCGAACCATGACTGGTCAGGCATTTTTCCATATCACATCGATGAAGCAAAGTTATATTTGCTATGGCAATCAAATACATTACTTATTTTTCGTTTATAAGTAGGCTCTCGAAACTGCCAGTAAGTCAGTTTTATTCAGCGGCCCAATTACGTTTTCGCGACCGGCTCTGCCGGCTTCGAACTCAACCTTAGTGATAGTTTCAGGCATATACAAAATGATTAAGCAATTTTGGGTGGCAGCGCCTTGATAGGCTGTTTAGGTTGTAAATGACAGTTTGTGAATTCTGGTGCCTTTTTGGGGGGAAGTTCAAGTGGATGCCTCAGGTTGTGTGCTTCTCACACTCAATGGCACACGAGACTAGAGATTCTATGCCAAAAGGACTGAACACCCTTTTTTCCAGTTCAAGTGTTCAACCTTGTTGCCAAAAGAATGGCCTTGTTTACACGCAAGATTAGCCTGGCTTTTCTTCTGCTTCGGCTTCAGCTGAGAATGGAATCCAGCTTTTCAACACGTAAGAGATTCGATTGGGCTCAATAAGATCCACTAAAAGCCTAAGCAAACATTGCACTTCTGTGAGGACAGCAGAACGGATAATCTGGGCCCAGGCTTCGGTGCGTAATCTGTTTTTCACCGAACAAGGCACATTCAGCTCAACACTAGCGTCATGGTGCTCAAGTAAAACATCCTCAGGAATGTATTGATCCACCTTTAGAGGAAGAAGCCCTCCATTCGCACTCAGAGGCTGAGTTTATGGAACTTTTGACAAAATATGGTATGATATACAAGGGAATATGGGCAACGAAAGCCAATTTGACTTCTCGCAAATGAAGTGTTGAACTCCCCACGGCTCATCAGTTTGGTTCTCGTTGCGAAGACGTTAATCCGAAGTTTCTAACACGCCTGGGACCTTCGCGGTTGAGTCCCGCCTTGTGCTACAAGGTTGACGGATGAGATTTTGCCCCTGGACACTCATGATCGGCTTTCCAACCCTATTTGTGGGTGTGATGAGAATCTGGCAAGAGAGACTATGTCATCCAAAATGAGAACTAATTGATTATGGGCCAAGCGACAGAGTAGGAGTTAGGACCAGAGTAAACGGAATAAAGGCCTCCATCTTGCCTCCCGAAATAATTTCTTATCAGAGCTGGAATGCATTGTCTCCCTCGTCTGAACCTCCCGGGTTCTCATTCAAGATGTAGCGATAAATGCGAAACCTATTCACTTGGTAGGAGTGCAATGTCGTCGAGTTTAGATGGTAACTACACGTTTAGTTTGGTTCATAAGCAGGCTTTTGATAGTACCAGTAGATCATATCTGTGAGAGGCATTTACCTCATTTCGTTTAAGGTGATAAGGGTACTGATAGTCTAATTTTCCCACAATGCTATGAGTGGACCTTCTATATAAGTCGAATTTCACAAATCCTTGCTTTTCCAAAAA